TACCTCTTCTTGGCTGTTTCTCCTCTCACAGACAACTCCGTGTGAGGAGAAGGAGGCGGAAGCCGCACCATGCGGCTTTTATTTACACTTAAGCTGTGTCCTTATTGGACACAGCTGATCACATGGTATGGGACCGATTTCATTGGTCCCATACCATGTCACATAATCTACCGTGTCCGACGGACTCGGCGATCATCGGGCTCGCGGGTGCGCGCTCTAGGAGCCGCGCACGAGAGCCTCAGACACAAGGTGCCGTTTAGAGACGGCAACCCGCTCCTGTAGGTGTCCCCGTCCTGCCGTTTATAAACAGCGGCCGGACGGGAAGTGGTTAATGTCATGAAGGACATTCTCTCCACCACTTTTTTTTACTTTTATAGGAGAGCCCTGGAAGATTCATTTGGCATAATAAACAATGGGATTAGATGTGGCAGTGGGATTTTATTTTTCTTCTTGTCAGGCATCGTTTATCGTTATTTACATTGATCTGTATCGCAGGACAATGTGATTGACAATACATCATGAAACTTTTTGGGGATTTTTTTTCTTATAAAGGACTGTGTAAGTATCTTTATTCACTCTTTTCTTTTTTAGTAAGATAATAAGTAGGGGTATGATGTACCCCTTACGCATTCACATAGGGTGGGGCAGTATCTGGGTGTCCTATTATTTAAGGGAGCTTATAGATCCCAATAGCCCCCAGCCCCATAGACCGCCATAATCACCAGGCCAGGGTTGTGCGGATGATCTCTTCATCTACGGCAGCCATCTTGAGTCCCTAAATAGCCAGATGGACTCAAAAACTTGATAGCTGCCTCTGATGCAGCTGGGGGGGTCTGGCGAAACCGGTCCATGGACTGATAAGTATACTTTTCTCTCACAGCTTGAAAAGAGGGACTATAGTCTGAATTCATGGAATGAAATGTGGTCATTCCTCATTGCACCATCGATGGGATATGTGCTTGTTTTTTGCACCTGCATTATTGATGCTTACTTGCATGGGAGCATATATATCTCCAAGCAGCTTTATGTATGAGGGAGGTATCTGTCTACAGTTGTGTCCAAAATTATTCAAACCCCCACTGAAATTGAGTGTTTTGGCCAGTTTGACATTGCTTTTGATCATTCAGTCATCTTGCTTACATTTACATTAAAGAGGCACTTGTAGGTCAGACAAATATAACATAACAGTTATAATGAAATAACCACAAATGTCTTTTCTGTGCTCACAGCATTATCAGTTTTATTCAACCCCCAAGTGACATTTCAATCTTAGTACTTAGTACAGCATCCTTTTACAGTTATAACAGCTTTTTAAACGTGAAGCATAGCTTGACACAAGTGTCTTGCAGCGATCTACGGGGTATCTTCGCCCATTCTTCATGGGCAAAGGCCTCCAGTTTCAGTCACATTCTTAGGCTTGCGCACTGCAACTGCTTTCTTTAAGTCCCACCAGAGGTTCTCAATCGGATTTAAGTCTGGTGACTGCGATGGCCACTCCAAAATGTTCCAGCCTTTCCTCTGCAACCATGCTCTAGTGGACTTGGAGGTATGCTTGGGATCATTGTCCTGTTGAAAAGGTCCAACGTCTCCCAAGCCTCAGGTGTGTGACGGACTGCATCACGTTTCCATCCAATATCTCCTGGTACTGAAGAGAATTCATGGTACCTTGCACACGCTGAAGCTTCCCTGTACCCCTGTAAGCTGCACCCCTGTACCTGCAGAAAGCAAAACAGCCCCAAAGCATGATTGACCCCATCCCACCATGCTTCACAGTAGGCAAGGTGTTCTTTTCATCATAGGCCTTGTTCTTCCTCCCTCCAAACATAGCGTTGATCCATGGGCCCAAACAGTTCTAATTTTGTTTCATCAGTCCACAGAACACTATCCCACAACTTTTGTGGTTTGTTAGTCCACATGGCTTTTGGCATACTGCAGTCGACTCTTCTTATTCTTTGGAGACAGCAAAGGGGGTACGCCTGGGAGTTCTGGCACGGAGGCCTTCATTACGCAGTGTGCGTCTTATTGTCTGGGCTGAAACTTCTGTACCCACATCTGACAAATCTTTTCTCAGTTCCTCAGCCAGCAGTCACACGGGGACTTCTCTCCACTCTACGCTTCAGGTAGCGCACAGCAGTCGAAGTCAGCATCTTCTTTCTGCCACGACCAGGTAGCGTTTCAACAGTGCCCTTTGCCTTGAATTTGCGAATGATGCTTCCTAAGGTGTCTCTTGGTATGTTTAACATCTTTGCAATCTTCTTATAGCCATTGCCCTTCCTGTGAAGAGAAATCACCTCTTCTCTTGTCTTCCTGGACCATTCTCTTGCCTTCACCATGTTTGTAACCACACCAGTAAATGTCTAGAAGGAGCTGAGTATCACAGTCATTTTAAAGCTGCCTAATTGGTGCTTATTATGCTTGATTGCTGCTCGGTGACATCCACAGGTGTTTTCAATACCTGATGGAAAGCACCTGTATGAACCTCTGTTCTTCAGAGTGGTAGTCTTTAAGGGGGTTGAATAATTGTGTGGCAATGAAGAAACCACATAAGAACCATTTACTACTGTATTACATAAACAATTGATGTCATTTTAGTTGCATTTGGGTAGTTACAACGTCCTTGTAGGATTTGATTCTGAATACAATTCCAAATGTACACTATAGTCCCTAAACCCCTTTACAGCATTGGGGGTTGAATAATTTTGGACACAACTGTATATTTATTATTATTATTATTATACAGTATTTATAAAGCGCCAATAGTTTGCTCAGCGCTGTACATTACAAAGGGGGACAGAACATGTGACAGAACAATACCAATACAATGCAAAACATGAGGGGATCGAGGGCCCTGCTCTTTCGAGCTTACAATCTAGGAGACTATACATATGAAAGTGGATCTACATCCATAGGCAGCCTTCACATCTTATTTTCCTCCTCCGGATTATATTCAGCTACTCCTTTCCTGATCGGGACACTCTATAACCATACACATGTATTAAGGGTGGCTCAATGCAATTGATTCAGTGAAATCACTACTTGGGTTTTTCTATGTCTGCCAGTTCATTCCTTGATCTCCATTACATCTTGGATCCTTATGGTTTATCCAGCATATCTTTACACAAGATGAGCAATGGACAGGGAGGAGATACACCAATATAGCTCAGTCCAATCAATAATAATATATCTATAGAATGTAATTATTAATGAAACATATTGTATGGATGATAGTTGATTCATTGCATCCAGGGTCACTACCTCTGACACATACCTTTTCTTTTATATTGGGTTTATGTAATTGTGCTTATGTGTTATTTTAACTAATAAAAGTTAATTATTGCTGTCAATGATCTCTGTCAATACTTTAATCAAAAATGAGAATTTTCTCTTTATATTTCAAATATTTTGGGTCTCAGATGTTGAGCAAAAGCCATTTTTTTATGTTCAGAGTATTTTGGATTTTGTGGTAAGCTCTCCTCCCCTTACTTGCAGTATATATATTCTAAGACATAAGCCTGGTAGGATCATTTTTTCTTTTGATTCTTGTAGGATGATCTCTTGTCCTCATCCACGTGGGGACAAGATACTTTGGTAGGAAGGGGGTCCCCCTAGAAAGGTACCCCCAACGTTGAGGACATGTGGCCCAGTATGATTCAGTGTGGCTCAAGCTTGTCCCCCCTTTCTTGGCTAGTGAAGCTTTATGCTTGGACAAGGGTCTGTTAAGAATTTTTTAAAGGGGACCTCATGCTTTTTTTTTTTTCTTAGTTTTGCATGGGGTTCCCCCTAAAAATTCATAGCAGACCTGAAAAGGCTGGTATGGAATTTAGAGAGGACTCCTAACTTATTTTTTGTTGATTGTTTTTTGCATGGGGTCCTTGACATCCATACCAGACCCTCATCAAGGATAAGGGTCTGGTATGTATTTTTAAGGAGAACCCAACATTTTGTTTTGTATGGGGGTTGCTCATTAACATCTATGGTATATCTAGGATAAGGATTTGGTATAGATGAAAGGAACCCCTGGCTGTTTGCTTACAAGCATAAGTAAAATGCCCAAAGTTGTAATGTGCTATCAATTTAAATAGCATTTCTTCCTTCTCTGTAAATATCTGTTTTGTTGCAGTAGGCTGTATAAATTGTACAGTTGTGATATTTCACAGGCAGGTTAAACCCCCCCCCCCCCCCCCACCACCACCACCACCACCACCACCACTTCTCCTTATTAAAATAAAGGCTCCCCACTCAACAGATTTTTTTTCTTCGGTACATGTCCCCCAGAGCAGTGCCCAGCCTTAATACCGTTTGTTTATCAGTCCCTTGCCTAGAAAATGGCCACTACTGGTTTTAACCTATGACTCCTGTTGTCTTTGGATTTGGCACCCAAACTATAGTCATTTTCTCAGAAACTGCTGTGAACCAAACCCAAGTATGTTTATCTCAAACCCTAGGAGGGGAGAGCAGAGTAACTAAGACTTGATTAAGTCATCAGCAGCTTCTCCTTTCACTGTCAAGTGACAGGTGGGGGGAAGGACAAGTAGGGAAAAACCAAGTCTCCTGTCCTGCCTCTGTGTGAAAGAGCTGTGTTACTCTTAGGACGTAATGGATAGAAATACAAATCATTTGGCAAATAGAACAGCTCTCGTATATGTATTGCATCTGTGTATTTAGCTGATGTTATGTAGTTCAACTTTGAACTATAAATAATTAAAATTTGTTATCTACAAAATAAAAATTAGAGTTCTCACAGTAGAGACCATACATATTGCTTATTCTGCTGAAGGGTAATGTGTGTCCTTACTGAGTAGCCTTATCCTTACATTGCTGAAGAATATAACAGCAAGACATACGAAAGTGAAGGAATTCTAGAAGATCTGCTGAGAATGTTTCCTGTTTTAGCATTGTTATTAATAAACTCAAAAGTTTGCCTATGATAGACAAACCACAAAAACATATTTAGCAGAGTAATATTTAGGAGAACTTGTAATGTTTCTTTTCCATGGCAGGAACTGGTATGTGGATGAGCCATCATGTGGGAGTGAGGGTGTGTGTGGTCATGTACTATCAGCCATTGACTTCTCCTGGTGTTGGTGGACCCTATATGTTTCAGTGGAACGATGACCGATGTAACATGAAGAATAACTTCATATGTAAATATTCAGAAGGTAAGTGCTTTCTAACTTTAACCACTTCGAAATGTTAAATTTAGGAGATAAAGTCATAGATAAAGGCAGTATTTCTAGGATGTATTTCCTCTATTCAGCACCACTTAGCAGGTGTGGCAGTCAAAATGCAATCCAGATGGCCTTATACTTCGAACATAATACGCCATAGAAATGTCAATTCTTCATCTTCTCTCAATTACCCTCTTCCTCTCCTCTTCTATACATCTCTCCTCCCTACTTTTCACTTCATTCCCTTTCTCTTCAAATACCCTATTACCTGATTCTCTCGATCGCTGCCCCTCCTGATATCTTCACCCCTCCTCCTATCCCACTTTCCCTATGCCCTATATCCAGTTTCAACTTGTACTCCAGTGGAGTGTAGTTATATTTGGTTGTGTTTTATTAATCCTACAGTGTCTTCATTAATTATTTTACAGAAAAGACAGCTCGTCCCCCAATGAAAAACACGTCATCATCACATATTGGTGAGTCATTCAGTATACTTGTATAATGTAATGATTATATAAAACAGTGGTCTCCAAGCTTTTCAAACAAAGGGCCGGTACACTGTCCTTCAGACTTTAGGAAGGCCGGATTAGGGCCAGTGAGGATAGAAAATATTGTGGCCCCAGCTTCAATGAGAACAAACATGGCCTCAGGGTTGTTGGTCAGTAGGAGGAGGAGTAGTGCCCCATCATCGGTATTAGGGGAAAGAATAGTACACCATCATTGGTTTCATGGGAAGAAATACTGCCCCATTGTTGATCTCAGTGGGAGGAATAGTGCCCCAAGGGCCGGATAAAGGGTAGAGAAGGACCACATCCGACCCCCGGGCCGTGGTTGGGAGACCCCTGATATAAAATATAGGTAATTAAAATATTGGTGTACTCAGTGACATTACTAATCCAGAGGCAGGTATACCCAAAATAAGAGGCAGTGACCATACCAACAATTGTCATTCCGATACCAGCCAGACATACAACAGCCCCTGCTTTATACAGATTTCAGTGGATGCTGGAGATGCCTACTGGGATTGCCATTGATGGGCTGAAATATCGGTGAACAAGTTTGTACTGACAATGGCTTGTAGTTTCTAAACATCAGAAATAAGCATCAGAGGTCTTTAAATGTGGAGGGTGGCATCATTGACGAGTAGTGAAGTTCTGAGATAGAAGGGGGCGCAGGGCCAGTTGAACTTTCACAGGAAAGGGCAAGCTTTGTATGTAAGCTACTTGCTTCTTTGAATCCATGTATCACTTTACATTGGTGCATTTTCCACCATATGTTCAGCTTGAGTGGCACACATTTGCTTGCTTTAAATGGAATGTATAGTGATTCTGTATATATTTTATTTACTGTGATAAGCAATGAAAAAAGCCTATACCAAAAAGGCCCATTGTTTACTGAGCTAAATAGGTCAAGCTTATATATACACACACAACTGAGTGACTCATCTTTTATCTCCCCAACACCCTGTCTGCTCTGTTCAGATGGGAATTTTAAAAGAGAGACTGTCCAAAAGCAAACAGCTTCTGCTGTGCACTCTCTTCAGCAAGCTCATAATGCTTTGTCATGGGTACACTCTCTAATAAATGTTTATTTAAATACAAATAATGCACATTACCCTTGATTTCTACTTCTCTAGTAGTTTTTTGTTGTTTTATTTGTATTACAGATATTGGAGCCAGTACTACCAAGGACCCAGAAATATCCATCAAAAACACCAATGAGACAGCAAAAGAAGCTGCAGGTAAGTGTCTGGTTAAAAGCTGATAACTTTAAGAAATATACTTGAGAATTCATGAGAGTTTATGATACTCTTTACAACAAATGTTAGAACAGGTACCTAAATTTGGGGAGAGCAATCATCATTTGTCATGCATAGATGCACTGAGGCCAGAGTGTTCATATGGAGAGGTTTGTAACTTGGTGGTCAGAGCCTGATTGGCATTCACAGACACTAATTCCCCATCAGGCCCACTTCCCCTTTGATTGACAGCAGTCTACTATGGGCTATGAAATCTGCCCACTGGTTGCTGTCAATCACAAAGGAGAGAGCAGATCTGATCGGAAACTAGTGTCTCTAAAATGCCAATCAGGTTCTGCCCACTGTCAGCATCAATGGTTGCTAAGAGTCTGTCAGCTGTGAAGCCGAAAACGTCCTTGACAATCAGTGATAGGTGCGGAGGGTAGAGGGTAGCAGTGGAAAACATGTCATGCTGCTGCATAGTGTACAGAGAAAGAGGCAGGCACTCTGCCTGTCTCTGTACGCCAACTTAGAGTTGGTCCTAATTACCTCCAGTTTCATTATCTAAGAACTGCAGGTCATTTTTTTCTGTATTCGGGGCAGGCATAGTGCTACTATGAACTACCTGAATCTGCCACAAGTTTAAAGCTACCAAACCTGGTGGCAGGGCAATTCTAAAAGGGCCATACTGCCAGAAAAGTTGGGCAAATGTTTTATTGGATTTCCCTCTTAGTTCCGTAGTTTTTTCAAGATTGCTGAACCAAAGCTTCTGTTCAGACACCAAAAAATGTCTTTCTGGGAATTACTCCCCCAGACTGGAATTGTAGAAAGGTCATAATGGCCTTGGCTTGTGCATTGTTTTACTTCATTTCTATGACAATTAAATACTAAGAATTGATTATTTTAAACACATATCCGATTTTATGTTAGATGAATGTTGATTACACCCATATTGTTGGAAAATTAGCCATAATGAGTATCTTATTTTTGCCTGCAGTTTCCACTGTACATCATTTTCCTCCTAAGAAGACCTTGCACCTTACCTTGACCCAAGAACACATCCACTTTAGAAGCTTTTATAGTACAGCCAGATGTTTCCCCCACACACAGGACATTACACTTATTTAGTTCAACACTAACTCCGCTTCTTCCCTTTATTTGAAAAATACAATTATTTTCCAAGGTTAATAAGTGAAAGTAGTGCAAAAGAAAATTACTACAAAGGAAAATGAATACAAAGGAAGACTAGTACAAAGGAAAACTAATTGTTTAATAGAAATCAGTGGGTATAACTGATCATTTTTTGCACAATGATTCTTCATGATCTATATAATTAGGGTGTGGCAAGGGTGTGTCTGTTACCTAAATATTTTGCACTAAAGGGTGTTCCTATTTCCTATCTGTTTAAGACCACAAATAGCTGTCACCAGTATTTGAATGAGTGTTATATATGACTTTTTTGTCTTTCTCTTTTCAGAGACCTATATCCATTTCATTCTCATCGCAACAATCCCAGTGCTGACACTCTTTTTCATTTTTATTGGAGTTTTGTGTTGCTGCTTCATAGAAAGAAGGCAAGTGTATTGTCAATTTGTAAATTAATTTAATTTAATTGTAACATTGGAGTGTCAGGGTGTATCTAGAAGGAGGAAGGGTGCAGAGGTAACATGGTGGAGAAAGGTTCAGACAGTATAGAAAACCTCCAGGGAAAATATATTGTATTTAAAATGTGCAGAAAAATGAGGTGACTTATTACAAATATAATTATATTTTTTACTGAAGTCCAGCTGTTTAAATAAATAAATTATATATTAATTATCATCACATGAGATACTATTATAGGAAGGAATATATGAATCAATATGAAATAATGATGTATGCAAATAACGTAGCACAGTGAACAAAAACATACTATATTTGTATACATCAGAAAGCGGGGGATGGTTGCTATAGACCAGGGGTATTGAATTAAAATTCAATACCCCTTACATTAGGTGTCGCCATCAAAGTGCAAAACTTTACATCATGTATTCCCATCACATCAGGTGTGCCCATCAGAGTACTCCTTTACATCAGTTGTCCCCATCAGAGTGCCCCTTTACATTAGGTATCCCCATCACATTGCCACCTTACATCAGGTATTCCCGTCAGAGTGCCCCCTTACACTCAAAGTACCCCTTTCTATCAAATTTTCCCATCAGAGTGCCCCTTTACACCATATTCCCCATCAGAGTGTCCCTTTCCATCACGTGTGCCCAACAGAGTGCCCCTTTTCACAGTATGTGCCCATTTGTGCCCCCTTAACATAAAATTGGTCCGTCAGAGTGCCCCTTAACATAAACCGTGCCCATCAGAATGCCCCTTAATATAAATGCGCCCATCAGAGTGCCCCTTAACATAAACTGTGCCCATCAGAATGCAGTTCTATATTTTGTTTGTCATGTTCAGTCCCCAGAACACTATCCACTATTTTGTGGTTTTCAATGGCTTAATATAAATGCGCCCATCAGAGTGCCCCTTAACATAAAATGGGACCACCAGAGTGCCCCTTAACATAAAATGTGCCCGTCAGAGTGCCTCTTAGCATAAAATAAGGGGCATGCTGATGGGCACATTTTATATTAAGGGGAACTCTGACAGGCACATTTATATTAAGGGGCATTCTGATGAGCATATTTATATTAAGGGGCTCTCTGATGGGCACATTTATATTAAGGGGCATTTTGATGGGCACAGTTTATGTTAAGGGGCACTCTGATGGGCACATTTATATTAAGGGGCACTCTGATGGATACATTTTATGTTAAGGGGAACTCTGATTCGCACATTCTATGTTGTGCCCATCAGAGGGCCCCTTAACATAAAAATAAGGGGCATGCTGATGGGCACATTTTATGTTAGGGGGCTCTCTGACAGACACATTTATATTAAGGGGCCCTCTGATGTTATGTTTAGGGGAACTCTAATGTTGTTCCCATCAGAGTGCCCCTTAAATTTCAATGTGCTCATCAGAGTGCCCCTGTAAGACTACACCCTACCTTGAGGGCAGACAAGAGTTGTGTCGGGATCCTTTCTAGATGCTTGTGTACAGGCAGGGAGCGGAGCCGGACAGACAGTGAGCTGAAAGGGGCGGGGCGCACACACACGTGATGTCATGTTGCCGTGACGACCGTCCTGCTCAGCTGCGGATCTGTCATTGTGGGATGGTGGGCTGGCGGTCCGGGCGGTAGCGCTGCAGGGGCCGTTCGCGGACCGAGGTCCGCCATTTAGTGACCTTTGCTATAGTCTATATGTTTTAAGTGATTTATTAGAAATAAAGTTGGTATTAATTTACACCAACTTGAGACATGAGACTAATTGGTGTGTTTTTAAGTTGATGGAAGCTGCTTTTGACCTAAAATATTTGAGTAAGGGGAGGATATAATAAGCAGGCTTGACAGTATGAGAGGTTCAGCACACATATGAAATGTGCTATTTCAGAGTGTCAGGCAGTGTGTAGTGTCTCCACCAGGGGCGGACTGACAACTCATGGGGCCCCCGTGCAATAGGGGATCATGGGGCCCCCTACTGACCCAGGCCCTTGGGCAGTGCCCAAGCTTCCAAATGGTCAGTCCACCCCTGGTCTCCACTATGTCAGCCTTTGATCTCCACAGTGCAGTAAGTCAGGTATGCTGACATGTTTGAAATGTAAATACTCCATAGCTGTCTGTGCGTTGGTGGGCACATTCTGCACTCAAACTTAGTGTTGTAATAGCCAACATTTTCATGTGCTTGGACTAGTTACAGCTGTATAAATGTCAAAACAGATAAATCATGGAATATCAATCTGTTTTTCATATTTATCGATTTGGTTTAGCTTTATGTACTTATTTAAGGCAAAGAACAATAATCAAAAGCAATCGGAAATCCTGTGTTCAATGAGCTACCTTCACTAAAATGCATTCCAATTGCCTGTCACGGATGAATGCATATTGCCAATTATTTCTGAATGTGTCAGTTTACTGTATAAGGCACAATAGGCAAACCTGTATGCTGCCTATACCTGTCCAATGAAGGAAAAAGCATCCAAGAGGTGCTGGGACTTTAATCTTAGTTCATATAAGGTAGAGAAAAAACATCCAGAGAGCTCACTGACGCAGGTCAGTCTGCTCAAAACAGACAGGGCTACCCATCAGGTTACCATAAAAAAAAATGTACCAACTGAAGGAGCTCCAAACCAAATGATAGGAGAGTCTGAATTGATCCATTGGTTTGTACTAAAGACTGTCAATTCATTTCAAGGGACAGAAAACACTTCCCCTTCTTCAGGGCTCCAGTCAGAAACTTGAATGGATTTAAAATCAGGATTTCCTGCGTAAATCTATGTAAGGAAATTGATTGCTGGACCAGGAGAGTTACTAGCGAGCAGAGTCTGCATGAACAGCAGTACAGAACCATTCAAGTTTCTGATGTTAAGTGAAGCCCTGGTGAGTGAGGAGTTTTTTCTGGTCCCCAAAATGCATTGGCTGTCTTTGAGTGCAAGCCAAAAAATTAATTTGAACTGTCATTTGGTCTGGTAATCCTTTTGTTGGTACATGTTTTTGTTTTTTTTTTTTAATACCGGATAAAGCAACATGTTCATGCCATAGGAAGCACCAATGGTAGGTTCTTCTCATCTTCCCTGGTAATTGGCTGTTCATGCATCCAGAGCAACATTATAGGAAGCCAGGTGAGGTGTCACTTGTGTTTCCTTTAGGGAAGTGGTTTTCGGGGCTTTGGTAGCAGATTGGGTGGCATGGGATTGCAGGAAAGGTGACTACAGCCTGATTATGGTGCCTTCTATAAAGCAGAACTGCCAATTTGTCTACAGGTTGTATAATAATCTGGTAATCACATCACATACTATACTAACATGTCATTCTGATTGTTCTTTAAGAAAACAGCAAAGAAGTGAAACAGCTGTTAAAGAGCCCAGCTTCTGGATGTCCCCACACAGAAGGAACAGCCCTAACCTGGAGATCTACAATGTCATCAAGAAACAGACGGATGCAGACTTAGCAGGAACAAGGCCAAATATCCGCAATACCTCATTTCGGGTGCCATCAGGGGAGATCTCGCCTATGGATAATCTCTCGGGTGAATATGATAATATGGCTGGAAACCATTCAGAGAGTGGCTTTGTAACACTAGCCAGCACAGAAAGTGGCTTTGTCACCAATGAACTGTATGAGCTGTGTAACGACAGGTATGGGAGAAGCACAGAATCTGGCTGGGTTGAAAATGAGATCTATGGATATTAGATAAGAAACAATGGACTAACTACATTACAGTGCAAGATGTTTTAAATGCAGATAATGTTCTACCAATAATTAAAAGAAAATGACTGACTGGGATTCTGCATTTTTTTTATGAAACAAATAAATTGCATCATGGAATTCTGCATTTGAAAATGGAAGCATTCTCTATTTGCTGCAATGGATTTGCATTACATTTGAATGATCTCCAAGTGAACACAATTGCTGTCTGTTAACATATCATGCATGAGTAAACACCTTACTTTGTTTTTTACTAGAATTCATTGTGGAACCTGCAACTGCATATTGTCATTTCACCACTAGATGCCACTACTTACAAAGAAAAAAAGAGAGAGTTACAGTGCAGTCTTGAAAACCGCTAACTGCACTATATATTGTACATTTATCCATTAGTGGGTAAAGCCAATGGAACAAAGCTACCTCAAATGAAAAGTCCAGTCTAGCAAAACAGATTCTCCATGAGGCATTATTTTAGTTTATTTTGCTAATTTATGATGGTTGTGTATACACATCTCTGAAAAGCATTGTTCTGATGTAAAAATAAACATTGTTCCTGATTAACTGCAAATTTGCACAATTGGCAGTTTCAATCACAAACTTTCCCATACTCTGATTACTAATGCATTATTGTCAAATCTTTGCAGGCAGTGAGCACCGTCCTGGTAAATGTCACATGTCCAGTCTTAGTAAGGAATACTGACCCTTTATAAACGTATGTTATATGAGGGTTCTTCCTTAACCCAAATAATGAGCTTATTATTTGCTTATTTGCGTCTGTTTGATATGTAATATCTGAGCATTTTGTTATTTCTGTTTTATAAGTGCAAACATCCTGTTGATCTTGTTAGAAATTTAAAACTGTCCTTTGTCTTCTGCACACTTCTTCTACAATCATAGAGAGCCCTCCTAGTTCTTATTTTAGACTTAAAGTTATTCTAAAAGCAACATTTTTATTGTTTAAAAATAATAAATATGTCTGTATGTATGTATCTGCTCTGTGCAATGGTTTTGCATAGAGCAGCCTCAATTCTCCTCTACTGGGGTCCCCTGCCGGCACTGCTGGCTCATCCCCCCCTGCCAAATTCCCACCATACTATACTGCTTGTTATGGGGGCACTCATGCGTGCTCACTCCCAAGCCATCTCTGTGTATCCCATGACACACAGAGCGTGGCTCGGCCCCACCCCCTGCTCTCTTATTGACAGCAGCAGGAGTCAATGGTAACCACTGCTGCCTCTTTGTCCAATGAGGAGAGAGATGAGAGAGCAGCGGATCTCACATTGCTGGATTGAGATCGGGCTCAGATGAGTATTTAGGGGGGCTGGAAGGGAGCTGGATGCAGAAGCTTTTTACCTTAATGCATAGGATTCAAAACTTTCTGCCTTCAGAACCACTTTAAGAATGATTAGCCTTTATGTTGTAGAGATCTGGGTGTGACTGAGTCGCTGGAGCTGCAAGGCAGTGCAGGTAAGGTGAGTATATAGGAAGATGATCCTTTGCAAAGACACAGTTTTGCTTTGCTCTGTGTAGGCAAAGTGATTGTGTCTCTTTAAAATACTTTTTTGTTACTTCCATCCCTCTCACTGCTCTACACTGGCAAAGCTGATTAAGGACACTTTCACACTGATCCGTAGCAAAGTGCAATAAAAACGCATATGCTTTTTTTTGTTGCAATTTTACAGTGATTGCGGTGCATTTTTCACAGAACATATGACTCAAAAATTGCTTCAAACATGCAACACATGTGCATTTTTTTTTTATATGGTTTTTGCCACGTTTTCAATGCATTTCAATGGGGTGGTGTGTTTTTGGTGCAGTTTTTTTTTAACTGACCAAATATGCCTCAAACATGCGGCAAGCAGGCTTTTTTACAGTGCAACAGAAGTGTCAGTATGAAGACATACATAGGGAAGCATTTTTCTTGCACTTTTATTACACAAAACTGCTTCAAAAACCTCCTTTGTCCTTATGTAAACTAGTATTGCAGAGAAGAGAAGAGTTGTTTCTAACAAGGAAAAAAAAAACAACCACTTGATGGCTCCAAAGACTATATGTGTAGGTTGAACCAAAAGTCCCCACAGAATGTCCCAGTGGTAATAATAAACATTGATAAGAATTGGGAAATGGTCCATGTGTTAGAAAAGCTACCCGCATAAACTGGTGTCGCTAAAACAACACACCAAGGAGTCCTGAAGAGTACATAAACAAGAAATCTTCAGAGCACTCAGCTAAGTGGAAGCAATCAAATTTACTGACCAACAAATGTGTACAAAACCATTGTAATAAACATAAACATTGCTTTTGCACACATTTGTTCGTTAGTAAGTTTGATTGCTTCCACTTAGCTGAGTGTGCTGAAGATATCATGTCTAACCAATTATACATCCAGTGATCTGGTCCATGAAATGATCTACCTTCATCCCTAACATTATAATTCAACAAAGATATTTGCAAATGCCCATGAGTATTTTTAGAGGTACATCAAAAGCAGACAAAATGTATAAAACGCTTTCTATAGTAAACTGTACCACAGTAAATATCTTCACATTTAAAAATGACAAACTGAGTTGCTATAAACAGTTCATTTTCATAGTTTTCAATTTTGTTTACAAACATTTGTCTTATGACTCCATAAAGTAATCAAATCCGGAAATAAAGGAACATCGAAAATCCCTACTGTTTTCATGAATATTCATTCACTTCATCAGGGGTAGGTACAACTGACATGGTATCTATAGACTAAGAAAAATGTTTCCAAAATTAAGGACAGTACTAAAACATCTATTTTTGAAAGGGAGTGAATCCATTCACCAACTCCTAAGAGATATTTACAGATCAGCTTGAAATATAATTAAACTTTTGTTACAGCATTTCCAAGTGGCAACCATCAAAGGGGTGCTACAGTGCTGTGAGCACTACCCACAGCACCCGAGGCAGATACCCTTTGATGGTTACCACATTACTGAGTGCACTGGGTCTTAAGTAAGCCATACATTATGCAGTTATCTTTCCTTCTACCACAGGTGTTGTTTAGTCTTGATGGGGAAATCCCTCCCCCATCGATATTGTATTCTGCCAGCATGGAGCCTTCCCTGCTGGCATAACACAATGTTTAGTGTTGCCATCTAAAGCTGGCAGCACTAATCCTTTAAGAAAAACCCAATAGGCTGGTTATACACAATTTGATTGATGGATTTACTTGTCTACAATCAGGGGACCTATACATGAATTAAAATTCCGTGGGTCGTTGCTGAACCGGTCAGATTTTGATCCATAAATGGCCAACTTTACTGTGGTGTCTATTGAACTGCACAGTCGTATTTAGACACCCTGTACAACTGCTGTAGCAGAAAAATGTAGCTAAGACAATGAAAAGTGTGCAAAGATTATCTAACCCAGCAATGGGCAAACTACGGCCCGGCGGACCTTTTAATCCGGCCCGTGGAGCGTGATACTGTCAGGATGTGTGTAGGCGGGGCAGCGTGCAGAACGTGAGGGGAGCTAGGCTCCTCTCACAGTCCGCCCTGAAGACCGGAACGGCGCGGGAACACGGCGAGAGGAACGCGCGGAGCAAAGGTAAGTGAATTGAATTACTATAGGGGGGATGAATTACTATAGGGGGGATTAATTACTATATGGGGGATGAATTACTATGGGGGATGAATTACTATAGGGGGGATGAATTACTATAGGGGGGATTAATTACTATATGGGGGATGAATTACTATGGGGGATGAATTACTATATGGGGGATTAATTACTATGGGGGATGAATTACTATGGGGGATGAATTCCTATATGGGGGATGAATTACTATGGGGGATGAATTACTATGGGGGATGAATTACTATATGGGGGATGAATTACTATGGGGGATGAATTACTATATGGGGGATTAATTACTATGCTTACTATGGGGGATTATTACTAGAGATGAGCGAATTATTCAAAAATTCGATTCGGCTGATTTGCCGAATTCGCGGATTAAATTTGATTCGAGGCGAATATATTCGCTGCGAATTTAACTTATAAAAAGGGTGTTTCTAGGCTTCAGAGAGCCTTTATATTAGTGCAGAACACTGTACCTTTAATTTAAATGCCCTTGGAGTCTGCTGGGGAAGAGAAATAATACTGTCAGTCAGTATGACATGCAGATGAGTGCCGTCGATCTTAGAATCACCGCACACTTCACTCATTTGGGCAGTCACGGGGCCAAAACCAGAGTGTGGAGCCACAGTGTGGCGGTGGAGGCAGCAATGGGAGGCCATACAGCACCCTATGACAAAATGGAACCCACCAGCAGTGTGAGGAGATCTGAAAGTGGCACATGGCAGAGTGTGGCGATGGAGACAGCAGCAATGGGAGGCCGTACAGGGACCCATGACAGATTACGGGCCTGGCAGCAGCATGAGGAGTCGGTACGGGGGCCCATGGCAGATTACGGGCCTGGCAGCAGCATGAGGAGGCGGTACAGGGGCCCATGGCAGAGTGGCGGAGCGTAAGCAGCTAAAATTGAAGGCCATACAGAGGCCTATGTTAAAAAGTCCCCCCAGCAGCAGCGTGGGGAGACGACTATCAAGAGTCCAATGGCAGAGTGGCAGAGCAGAAGCAGCTTCAATTGAAGGCCATACACAGGCCTAGGTTAAAAAGCGGAAGCCGTCAGCAGCGTGAGCAGACGACAGAGACACATGGCGCAGGGTGGCGGTGGAGGCAGCAGTATTCGGAAGCCAAACACAGGCCTCGGTTAAAAAGCGGAAGTCGTCAGCAGCGTGAGCAGACGACAGAGGCACATGGCGCAGGGTGGCGGTGGAGGCAGCAGCAATGGAAGGCCATACAGCACCCTATCACAAAATGGAACTCACCAACACTGTAAGGAGACCTGAAAGTGGCACATGGCGCAGGGTGGCGGTGGAGGCAGCAGTATTCGGAAGACATACACAGGACTAGTTTAAAAAGCGGAAGCCGTCAGCAGCGTGAGCAGACGACAGAGGCACATGGCGCAGGGTGGCGGTGGATGCAGCAGTATTCGGAAGCCAAACACAGGCCTCGGTTAAAAAGCGGAAGCTGTCAGCAGCGTGTCCTCCGCGGAGTTACAATACCTCCTGCCGCACTAAACACGCGCTCCGATGCCACGCTACTGGCCGGGCATGACAGCCTTTCAAGGGCAAATTCAGCTAGTTGGGGCCAAAGGTCAAGTTTCGTTGCCCAGTAGTCAAGGGGATTGTCTACCTCGGTTGGCAGGGTGCTGTCCAAGTAGGCCCAAGCCTGTTGTTTGAGGTCCTGCTCCAGGTCCACCTGATGCTGCTGCTGCTGCTGCGGCTGGTTAGTAGTTTCCTCACTGCGCTGGTGAAGAAAGCTACTCATCATCGACTGCAGACTGAGGCAGCCGCTGCTGGTGGAGCTGCCACTGCTCCTACCACCCCACCCCTCCCCTGCTGCCATGGCAGCGGAACGCGAGCACACAGGGCCCACAGTGTCTGAGGATGGACGTTGGCGCAGAAAGGCAGAGACCAACTGACTACATAGGTGGTTTTTATAGTACGTTATTTTGGCCTCCCTCTCAGCAGGTGTGAAAAAGGCCACCATTTTTGAACAGTAGCGAGGGTCCAACAAGGTGGACAGCCAAAAGTCATCCCTCTGTCTGATGGTTATTATTCGGCTGTCGCTACGCAAGCAACCGAGCATGCTATGGGCCATTTGTGCCAAGGAATGCGAGGGACTCCCTGCCTCCATCTCCACAGCATACTGCCACTGTGCGTCTGGGTCCTCTGTCTCCTCCTCCTCTACCAGATGCTCCTGCTCCTCCACTCCTGTCTGCTGAGTGGAAAAAACCACCCATTTCACTCAATAATTCCTGAGCACCAATGTCCTCCTCTACCTCCTCCTCTTCTTCCTGTCCTGCCCCCACAGGGGTCATGTGGCGTTGAGATCTGTGCGCCACGTCTACCGCACCGACCAGCCATTGTTAACAGCATTTGTTCCAGGACGTGCAACAGAGGAATGACGTCGTTCATCCCATAGTCCTGCCGACTCACGAATAGCGTGGCCTCCTCAAAGGGCCTGAGCAAGCGGCAGGTGTCACGCATGAGCTGCCAATGGCTGACATCTAAGTTACACAGGGGAGTACCTTTATCCGCTTGTAACATCAGGAAATCGGTGATGGCCTTTCGCTGTTCGTAAAGGCGGTCTAACATATGTAGGGTTGAATTCCACCTTGTTGCAACGTCACAGATCAGGCGATGCTGTGGAATTCCGTTCTGCCGCTGCAGCTCAAGGAGGGTGTGCTTTGGTGTAGGAATGGCTGAAATGCATGCAAAGTTTACGTGACATTTTAAGGATGTCTTGCAGTGGGATGGTGGATTTTAGGAACCGCTTGACAACCAGATTGAACACGTGAGCCATGCATGGCGCATGGCACAACCTTCCTTGACGCAGAGCAGACACCATGTTCTTTCCGTTGTCGGTCAACATGGTTCCGATTTTCAGTTTGCGCGGAGACAGCCATCTGTCGATTTCTCTGTTCATTACACTCAGAAGTTCCTCCCCTGTGTGACTACGTTCGCCAAGGCATACCAGGTGCAGCACAGCGTGACACCGTTGCGCCCTGCACATGTGATATGCCGGTCGGGTAATGGGACATGGCGGAAGAAGAGGTGGTAGAGGCGGACATCTTTGCTGGACCAAGGACGTGCAAACGTGGAGGCAAAAGCGGCGTGACCTGTCCAAGTTGCTGGTGCGGCTGTGCCGGCACCACGTTCACCCAGTGGGCCGTAAATGACATGTACTGTCCCCTGACCGTAGTTACAGCTCCACACGTCGGCGCTGCCGTGCACTTTGGCAGAGACCGACATGCTTAAAGACTGGCCCACCATCTCTTCTACATGTGAATGCAGGGCTGGCACTGCCTTTTTGGCGAAGAAATGCCGGCTTGGCAGTCTCCACCGCGGCTCGGCACAAGCCATCATTTCTCGGAAAGGTGCTGAGTCCACCACTTGGAAAGGGAGGGACTGCAGCACCAGTAACTTGGACAGGAGGACGTTCAGCTTCTGCACCGTCGGGTGCGTGCTCGCAAACTGTTGTCTCTTGGAAACGGATTCCAAGAAAGACTGCTGACGGAATCCGTGAAGAGGAGTAGCAGGAGAAGGAGCATCTGAACGAGCGGAAGATGCCAACGAGCGACAACTCCCCTCAGCAGAGGTGTTGGAGCCTTGACTGGCTGATAGAGGGCGATTGACGTCGGGTGACGGAGCAAGTAACGGAGCGGGGGGCTGGGGCAGGCAGCAGAACCGCCGTATCTTTATCACGGTTTTCCCAGGCCACCGAATGGCGACGCTGCATATGCTGACGCAACGCTGTAGTCCCAACATGGGCCCCCTGGCCACGCTTGACTTTTTGGCCACATAGTCGACATACGGCTACGTTTACTTCCTCGGGCGGCTTGACGAAAAATTGCCACACCGCCGAGTAGGAAACTTTGCCCCCGCTACTCCTCACTGGCTGACTGCTACTTCCTCCGTGCACACCGGCACCACTACTGGCCGTGGTGGTAGGCTGCAGTGGAGCTGGTGCTCTACTCCGTGGCCGTTTGCCTCCACTGACACTGCTGCGACCCTGCTGCCTCCTGGGCAACCCACCGACTGTTTTGCTCGCTGGCAAGCTGGCACCCTCTTCTCCTGATGATGCGGAAGAAATAGCCTGATGACGACGAGGCTGCCAAGTGCGATCAGCCTCATCATCATCAATTAGGGTCTCCGCGTCACTACTAGCCCCCTCGGCTGCGTGTGGGTCAGGAGACAGACCTGTCTCTAGACCGGCTACCGAGCCACTCTCCTCCCCAGTACTTCTTCGCCTGGCTGCTGAAGAGGCGGATGTCTCCCCCCGTTCCTGACCGCCCTCTGTTAGCTCTTCCTCACTGTACAGTGGGGCTGAGCCCACAGCATGCGATACTTCGCTTGGTGAGGGAACACCAAAGGACAGGGGCAGGTCGAGGACACGTGATTTCAGTGGGCTTGCTCCCGGGCCATGCCAACTACCGGTTGTGTCTGACGTACCCACCGACCGTTGGCTGTAGGTGTCAGAGGTGACCTGGGAAGAGGAAGACGACCGAGTCAACCAATCGATGACGGCAGGGTTGTCGGTGGAGACACGACCGCTGGATGACACCGGGAGCACTGGCCTCTGGCTGCAACTAGTGCTGCCTCGACCCCTTCCTCTCCTGCCACGTCTGCTCGCTCCTGAAACATTGCCTCCTCTGCCACTCCTCTGCGTGTTGTCTGACATACTCTTTAATTCAATAAGCACCCCAAAAATAAACCGGATTTAACTCTTTGAACGTACAATAGTGGTTGTGAAGCAGAAAGTCAGTTTATTTTGCACAATCGGTCAATTGCAGCTTGCCGTTGGCTGGAAACTGTACATTTATGTCACTGGAATGCACTAATCACCCAAAAAATATTACCGCCACCCGGCGTGTATATGGATTTAACTCTTTGAACGTACAATAGTGGTTGTGAAGCAGAAAGTCAGTTTATTTAGCACAATCGGTCAATTGCAGCTTGCCGTTGGCTGGAAACTGTACGTTTATGTCACTGGAATGCACTAATCACCCAAAAAATATTACCGCCACCCGGCGTGTATATGGATTTAACTCTTTGAACGTACAATAGTGGTTGTGAAGCAGAAAGTCAGTTTATTTAGCACAATCGGTCAATTGCAGCTTGCCGTTGGCTGGAAACTGTACGTTTATGTCACTGGAATGCACTAATCACCCAAAAAATATTACCGCCACCCGGCGTGTAAATGGATCTAACTCTTTGAACGTACAATAGTGGTTGTGAAGCAGAAAGTCAGTTTATTGTACACAATCGGTCAATTGCAGCTTGCCGTTGGCTGGAAACTGTACGTTTGTGTCACTGGAATGCACTAATCACCCAAAAAATATTACCGCCAGCCGGCGTGTAAATGGATTTAACTCTTTGAACGTACAATAGTGGTTGTGAAGCAGAAAGTCAGTTTATTTTGCACAATCGGTCAATTGCAGCTTGCCGTTGGCTGGAAACTGTACGTTTATGTCACTGGAATGCACTAATCACCCAAAAAATATTACCGCCCCGGCGTGTAAATGGATCTAACTCTTTGAACGTACAATAGTGGTTGTGAAGCAGAAAGTCAGTTTATTGTACACAATCGGTCAATTGCAGCTTGCCGTTGGCTGGAAACTGTACGTTTGTGTCACTGGAATGCACTAATCACCCAAAAAAATATTACCGCCAGCCGGCGTGTAAATGGATTTAACCTTTGAACGTACAATAAGTAACGATTCTGTGTCCCTGAGTAACGATTCTGTGTCCCTGAGTAACGATTCTGTGTCCCTGAGTAACGATTCTGTCCCTGAGTAACAATTCTGTGTCCCTGAGTAACGATTCTGTGTCCCTGAGTAACGATTCTGTGTCCCTGAGTAACAATTCTGTGTCCCTGAGTAACAATTCTGTGTCCCTGAGTAACGATTCTGTGGCCCTAAAGTCTCTGTGGCCCTAACTCTGTCCCTCAATACACAGAGGTCTGTCTCTCTTGAATGACCGGAGGCTAATGGAGAATTCGAAGATGGCCGCGATTTATAGCTCCACCATTACACAGTGCTGGCTGGCTGGCTGCTGATTGGCTAATGCGATCACATGTCATGATTCATGACTCATGAATGCATTATGGGTCAGCGCGCCTTGTCTGCGCGCCTTCCCAGAGATCCCCGCCCCATCTTCTCTGTCCATTTTCTCCTGTCGCCACACATGTCGCCGCCATTTTTGGGAAATTCGATTCGTGCATCCGAAGTTTGCTAATCTTCGGATTCGTCGCGAATCTAATTTTTCCAAATCTTCGAAACGAATTCCACTTCGTCATGTTCGATTCGCTCATCTCTAATTATTACTATACTTACTATGGATGACACATACACATCATTCATCTACTCTTGGTCCGGCCCCCGGGTCCAATATATGA